ACCAGGAACTCAAGAGTAGGACGCAAGGTAAGAAGGTAAAAGTCAACAGTTAGGTAGTTATGTCTAAGTCGTCGATGACATCACAGACCACGATTTCATGGGCCAGCATCACAGTGGCAGAAGGGGGAATATAATAGGGCACGGCTTCCCTACTGAGAACTCCACTGGACTACCAGGAGACACACGTGGCATCTCCAACCAGCACATACTGTATATGCTTCCTACATTCTCTACCTAACATTATAGGCAACCTCCAACAGGAGATACTGTATCTACATTGAAAATGGAGAAAATCTAGATGAGTCAGCACCTGATGGATTATTAAGGCTGCTTTTCATTTTGCATGTGACTAACTAAACGATTCAATGACAGCTGGATCACTATAGTTGTGTGCTGTCTATGAATGCACTATGTACTAAGATATGAGCTGTTAGTGCCATTAATATGCACTTATTTAGTTTATGGCTAAAAACGAGGCACCACCAGTCACATAATAGTTTATTCTTCTATACACACTAGATATGGGTGGCTGACATCCAGGGCTATCATGTAGAAGTTCATTCTCATAGGCAACATTTCATCTTTTTTTTTAAACCAGTACAAATGGGATTAATTTCTCTGCCTTTAGACAACACCTATATCTATAGGCGACTTCTGTCTTCAGTTTGAACCCTTCCGGCAGCCCCCACAGGAAATCGATGCATGTGGGCATTTTTAATGACTGGATTTTTAGCTGTAGTGGCCCATGTAAGCACACGATTAAGGCTAGATAAGTAATGTCCCACAATTGAGGTACCTACAGTATGCGCCCTAAAAAGCTATCATAGTGAACACAGAGGATTACAGTACTGTCATGAAATTGGGATACATAACCATTTTGGAATTATTTTTTTAATGCGATAAAGATATATATTAATTATTACAACAGGCAGCGCAGTGGCTTAGTGGTTAGCACTTCTGTCTTGCAGCACTTGGGGGGGGGGGCCCCTGGTTCATATCCCAGTCAAGACACGGTTTGCAAGGAGTATGTATTTTCTCCTAGTGCTTGCGTGGGGTTCCTCCCATACTCCAACAACATGCTAGTAGGTTAATTGGCTTCTGTCTAAATCAGCCCTGTTTGTATGCATGCGAGATAGGGACCTTATTTTTATATTTGCTATACATTTGTAAGCTCCTTGAGGGTAGGGACTGAAAGTAAAATGTAAAGTGTCAGTGCTATAAAAATACCTATAATACTGTCCGCAGTCTGTATGGATTCTTGGAAGGTTTAATTTCTCTGTACAAAATTTTATAAGGGATTTTTTATGAGAACAAACTGTTTCAACTGTATTGAAGCCAAACATATCCTTATAGCCCATCTATCATTTTGGTTTATTCATTACATAAGAGAGGACAGAAGAAAGAAGGAACATAGAGAACAGGAATGCAAAAGTAGCAAGCAAGGGAAGAAGGTAAAAAGTAAATAGACCTCGGGAAGGATCAGATGTAACAGTCATGGCAGCTGCAGTGAAGTACAAATCTATCCAAGACCTCCTTAGAGGACAGTGTCCATTAACATAACTTACATCTTCATAAACAGTATGTGAGGCTAGCATTTTCAGAAGCAGTAATGTAATGCATTTCTCTTTATATATGTTTGCAATGTACTTACCTTTCTAAAGGCTCTGTTCACATTTTGGCATTTCAAAAATACATAATTTTGTTGACCTTTGCTGATCAGCACAGTTTAAATAACTAGAACACACACACACTTACTAGCAATGACAAACATGGACAGCGCAGCCACAAATTATTTTTAAGGAATGTATACTTCATACAGCTTTCCTTTATTTTACCATAATCCTTCACTCTCCATAAAAAGGTATATTCTTACCTGTCCACAATCCTGCCTGCTTTGAGCCCAAGGGGAGCTGCTGCTGCAAAATCTTCCAGGCGGTCCCTTTCTTATGTGCATGCGTGGAAAAAGAAGATCATCCCTTGGACTGTCAAACTATTTGTGGGACGGCCATCGTGCAATAACAATGAACTGGAATTAGTCTGCTCACACGCCGTAGAAGGGCAGGGATCAGATGGAAGACTTTGCAGCAGTGGTTGTGCGGCTCCCAGAAACATTAACATGCGAGTAAAAGACGGGGGGGGGGGGGAAATTTAATTAAAGGATAAACTTTACAGAAGTAGGCAACCTCAGCACTCCAGCCGCAGCGAAATGATAAATCCCATCAAAGCTCTGCCAGCCATACCTGTGGCTGCCAGAGTCTTGAAATGCCTCATGTCGTTACCAAACAGCTGCTGTGCCAAGGTTGCCTACCCTTGATGTAAACCCTCAGGTATACCCTAATAAAACTTTGCTCCATTTCCTTTGGAAAAAAAAAAAAAATGGTAAAGCTGATGGCTAAGCATCTTCTTAGGCCCGTTCACACTTTCGTGATGCGTGAACGGGTGTGCTGCTGTTGCTGTACGTCAGCCCATTTATTTCAATGAGCTGCTGCACGCCTGGCAAAGAAGCTCATACAGCATTTTTCAGCTGCAAGCTTCCTGCATTAACTATGCATTTGTGCACATTTGACGAGCGTCCATGCATGGGCAAAAATGTACGTTTTACTGGCCACGTTTGGGGTGCCATAACAAGTAATGGCACCGGAAGCGCAATTATTGACAGGCTGTGTCAACAAATGTTTAAGCAATGCAGAAATGTGAACAGTGACTTAGATCCCACCCTCATCTGTTCCTTCCCTCTGGAACACAACCTGATTCCAGGGCTGCCTTATAGCTCGCAGTATACTGAGACGCCGCAGCAGAAGCGGATCCCGACAATTATGTCTGGATCCGCCCAGCTGCATGAGCGACAGCTGGCTCTGCCTATCTAGAGGCAGAGCCAGCTGTACCCGCCCCCTCCTACGTCCGTTCCGCCAGTCAGCGCTGGAGGATCGGAGCGGGGAGGGAGGAATCCAGCCTCTCCCGTCACGGCAAGAGAGTTGTGACAGCATTGAGAGGTGAGCAAAAGCCGGTATGTGTTCGCTCACCTCCCGATCTACTGAGCCGACCTGTGACAGTTTCATTGTCACAGGTCGGCTAGAACTATGAGGATGAGTGAAAAGCACTCACCTCGTAGTTCTCCTTTAACGATGAGTCTCCTGTAAATATAAAACAAACCTATCGCACAACCATAACGTTTCAATAATGGTCCACAACATTTTAGGCAAAGAAAACATTTATTTAAAAAAATCTGAAGTGCATAGCACTCATTTCAGAATTCTTTGTTGTGGTTTAATACTCCAACAGTTTCCATATACCCCATCCGAATCCCACAACATTTTGGCTTGTATTCAAAACATGTAACAATGCATTTGAGTCCCTTCTTAATGAACAGCTCTTAGTGAACATAGCCTTGGCTGCTTTCAGAATAACGATCTTGTACAAAAGAATAAAAACAACCCAAAAAAAACAAAACACATATGCTACATAATAAATAATAAAGTAATGTAGTGTCTTTAGTCTGGTCCTGCTGCCTTCTGACAAAAAAAGAAAAAACAAATCTATAATAAAAAAAAAAAATGACTATATACAAATGCCAAGTACTGAATAGCATACTATCATTTCTTTATCGTTCCATTCATTTTCAAAGAACATTTACTCCAGTGTTAGTAATAATCTAGTATGTTCTAGAGCAGTTTCGTGAAAAAAAAAAAATACCTAAGAGTCAGGCTCACAAGACAGTTTTCAAGTTAGGACAGAGCTTTATAATAATGAGGTAGATAAATAAAGACACTTCTGAAGTCCTCAAACTGGAATGCTAATATAAAATGAGGATCCTTAGTGTTCTGGCACTTTTGGAATGAAAACACTTGGCTTTACTTAATGATATGCCTCGGTCTATAGCACCCGACCACCAGATGGCTATTAAACCTCTAGCGTGAGTAAGCTCATTTCTGATAGGCCGCTCTAGGCTCCTACACAAAACCCTATGGGATTTATAAACTAGATTAAGAAAAAATAAGTAACAAAATAGAAGAATTTACAGCTCTACATTATTTGGACTCAACAGCAATAACTTCAAATCATTATCAATCAAAAAATGACCAAAAGGTGTTTACCTCTTGGAAAAAAACCCCCAAGAAAACCCACACAGGGTGCATCTCAAACCCTATCTGTAACAGAAAGTGTGATCCAGTTTTGTACTCTACAAACACAAATTGCATTGCTATGGAAGGAAGTCTACAAGAGTCCACTGATAAAATACTTTCCAGACGACCCATTTATAAAGGCGGAATTTGACATTAGCTTTGGTTGCTTTCATTTGGCTTCTAAAGAGATAACACATGAAACTATAATCTTATCTACACCATCAAATCTTACCTAAAACAATAAGAGGATTTGCTACTGAGTTGCATGTTTTCCCCCTCTCAGATTAAAGTCATGCTGGATATTTATCAATAACACTACATGACTTGCATGCATAACGCAAGGCGTTTTGCTACTCAGTTGGAAACGCTTATGTTCCAAAAAGGGGCTGAGGAGCAACAGATTTAGATCTTTGCCAGACAAAAGCAAAAATATTAAAGACATCTAACCCAGGGCCTAACAAACTGTGGTACTAGCCACCAGCTAGCCAGTGAAACAAAAAGGAGCCAGACAGAACTTTCAAAGGCAAAAGATATTCATTCCACGACTTTGAAGGTCAAGAATTAGGCACCAGCAGAAAGTTCTAAGGAGCCTTGGTGTCTTCTGGTCTACCTGGCATCTGGGACTTGTCCAGCACCTTTCTAACTCTACATTAAATAAAACACCAGCAGCATGAAATAGAGTTATATATATTATTTCCCTGAGTTAGTGTGAAATATTGCTTTAAAAACAAAAAAATGAAAGATATATACGAGGTATAATGGAAACATCAGAACATGAAGATTCATAGTTGACCAGTACAGAATGCTATATGTAACCGTACTTCAGATAAATGAGCACCACTGAAAAAGTTATAGCTGACCTGCATTAGGTTTCATTTAGGTGACTGGCCAGGCAGTCATGGACGTGTGACATTGCTAAAGAGTAATACTGTATAATCTCCTTCATCGCATTGTGACAATGACAATGTCTTCAGAAAAACAAAGTTCCCTCAAGACCATGGTGGGAAAAGCACTTGGTCAGACAGTTCTTTAGCACCATTGAGTGGTTGGGCCTCTATAGGCATTCAAAGAGCGCTCTCCTGAGCTTGTCTCTACGAGGGGACAATAAAATCCCCCAAAACAAACAAAAAATAAAAATTAAAGGACTGTCAATTCACAGCATGTTTTTCAAGAGCAGGACAGAGAGGATAGAAATGGCTGTCATCACCTCTCAAAGCACTGCGTTATACAAGAGTAGTGTCCGTTCACTGGAAAGCTTCTGTTATAGGACACCCCCATGCAAGGCTTCACTTCTATGGGCACAGCAGCTAAAGAGACACTTGCAGCAGTCTGTATGTGTGCCCGTGGTTGGACACCCATGGCCAGGCTGGACGTACATGTCTGGAGAGGGAATGCAGAGGTGTGGGCAGCAGAGACAATTTGTTGGCAGCTCGGTTGCTGAGGGGTCGGGTGGTGGAACTGTAGTTGGTGCTGGGACTGCAGGAACTGGGGTAGGTGTTGCTGTACATGAGCATGTGGTGTGACAGGCGACGGCGGAGGAAATAAGCATGGTGTTGCAGAGTGGCTCAGTTGCGATTTGTGCTTGTTGGCCTCCTTCACATCATTGTCATGTGCACTAGAACAAAAAAAAAAGGAAGGATTTTGAATAGTTTGCTTATAACAATTTGTGATAATACAGCATCATGGGCTTCAGGCATGAAGGAGAAAGAACTGCTGCTACCTCGAACAGCTAGATTAACATTCAATGGCAAGGAGACACAGCTTTTTATCTTGCCATTTTCTTCTCTTCTCGAAAGTGGGCAATAGAACACCAACATTAACAATTCTGTGTAGTTAAAGATTAGGAAAATAGAGAAAAAGAAAAACAAGATTACAGCCTGTGGAAAAATAAGACTGGTCGCTATGAGACCCAAGTTGTATAGTTTAGCCCTTATTTATGAACCGGTTAGCAAAAAAAGAGACTTTTAGACGGTGGAGCCTTGTTGGCCAGGAAGGCGTAAGCCGCAGGATGATGCGAGAAGCTGCTACGCATGCTGCTGCCACAAGTGATGGGAGGTAATTTAAAAATATGTGATCTATGAAGAAAAACAAAATGGTATCAAACATTGTAAAGACCACCAGCACTGAATTCGAAGTGGGCTAAGGGAATAATGTCCACTGTACCTTGCAGAGACACTTCTAGGAAATAATCGGCGTATTTTGCCATGTAGATCTTTGTCTTCTCCAGGCAGATCATAGGCCAGCCATCGTGGAGATCAGTGTCATGGACTGCAATTGACAAGTAGTACTCTATAAAGTGGGCAGGAGTTGGGAGGCACAGGTTCCACTCAAAGGTTTCCAGCAGCAGGAGCTCCATATGGAGAAGGTTCTGTTTGGTCAGCACCAAGTTCATGTTTGTCATACAGCCCAGACTGTTCAGCTGGTCCAACTTTGGCACTCGATCTTCTTTGTCTTCAAATTTACCTGGAAAACAGATATGACAAAATGTGAGTTGCTCCTCTTGTCTTAATCAACTTCAGTGTTAAACCATAACATACAGGAGGTTACATGTACAGATCATAAAGTGCACCTATACTGAACATACAAAGTGGAAACAGACATGAACTGAAGGCACTTGGGAGATGGACTTCCACATTTCCCTTTAAATTGGGGAGCACACTATGCAAATCTTGACTTGGAACGGTTGTGCTGGCCATACACCCCACCCCCCAGTGGGCTGATTATTCTCATTCAGCCCAATAGGCTGAACTTGAAGAGTGTAGATGGTGGAATCTCCCATGCTGGCTATTGTATTCTGATAGCCAGCACCTGCTTAGCTATAGTTACTGGCCCACAATTTTCCACCCATCTCCCTTGACTAAAATGGATTGAAAATTCAACTTTTGTTGAGTAGGGTGGTGCCAGTAGGGCCACGCACAGATGAAATTTCAGCCAATTCAGGAAACGGCCAATTTACAGCACTCCTGCCTTGCAGCAATGGGAGGTCACTGGAATAAATCCTAGTCAGGACACGATCTGCAAGGAGTCTGCATGTTCTCCCTGTGCTTCAATGGGTTACCTCTGGTTTTCTTCACACACTCCAAAGGCATGCTGGAAGGTTAATTGGTGCTGGCGTGTGTGTGCCATGGAGAGCTTAGATTTTAAGCCCCTTGAGGGCAGGGACTGATGAGAGTGCAGCATGTTATGTGCTACTAAAATTTTCGGCGCTATCTAAATACCTGTAAAAAATGTTTGATCCTCGTATGGCGAGCTCACGCCTGAGCTCCCCCCTGCACCTTACTATGTGCAAGCTTGGCCAAGCATTTCATTCATGGAGCAACAAAAAGATGCACACGGTAGCAGTTCAGGCTCCAGACATGCTGGCTGATTGGAAGAAAACTAGGCATGTAGAGGCAGTTCTATGTGCCTGCATTTTATATAGGCTGCCATTTTCTCATTTTTAAATACCCTTTAGATTTACTTGGCAGCTACATAAAGCAGCATATAAAAAAACATTCAGAAGTCATTCAAATAGGGAAATCATTACATTTACACTGACTTAGAGGACCAAGCTTACCCACGGCTCTAATTTTCTATTTTAACATACTTGTTACCCACCTGCTTTCCCTTCCAGCCACCTACCTATAGCTGCCAGTTTTTTCTGAACAGCAGGGAATACGAGACTGCAAAAATGCCAACTAATGTGCTCCCGGGTTCATACACCCATCTCTCCATCTGGAGTTGCACTTTAAGAGCAGAGGTTGATGGACAGCTCTCAACACAAATGGGCATGCTTCTACTACTGCAGTTTAAGTCTCAATACCAGTGGTCATGGTTTGTTTGTTGCATTTTGCGGGTACACCATAAATGGACATACAAGTCTTCAGTCATTAAAATACTGCTGCCTCCCATTTGCTACATACAAATGCTTTTGTATCAAAGCGACCTTTTGAAAGCAAAACTAATGAGAAGCGGTAAAGCTGGATTCTCGAGGCCACTGTTCTGTTGCTGCATTATTAATCCTAATCTGCATACATGAAAATGCATACAATGCAATTCATGACATTACAATACATTCATTGTGGATGCCAGAAGGGAAAATATATTCAAAAGTATGGACGCTACTAATGTGTACAGACCCACTGAAATTAATTTAGGAGATTACATTTTGTTAGCATTTACTGTACTGCCGTCATCAACAAGAAATCTAGAGAAATAAAACCGGAGATCGGGGGCGAAAAAAACCAAAAAACAAACATTCTGGAGCTAGAATATATGTTCAGCAGTCATTCACTTGACTGTGATGCAGATCTCATATATAAACGAGCAATTTACAATTCAGTAATAATTGATCTCATGTCCAAAAGGGATATAAGATTTTACTGCCCACGGCAAGTAGATAGTCAAATTCTTTGTTCTAGTATGGCAGCCTGGCGGGGACAATTAGATTAGCTGATGTGGACATGGACCGTTCTTCCTGCAGAAACTGATAAATAAGGCTGGATGAATTGCACATTTGTTCCATTGGGACTCCCGGGGTTAAAAGAGACACGAAGCTCAGGAGTCAAATATTAAAAATACATTCAAGTACCCCATTTACAAAAATGTATCTTATTTGTGTATCACTCGGCTGTAGATCTTCAAATCATCTCTGAATTGGTGCCGACACTGTCCTTCCTTCTGGAGGGGGGCTACTTGTTCCTCAAGGTCCCTGTGTGTGTGTGTTGTAAGTAGTCACCGCTCCAAGCTCACTCCAGTGATGGACTACAATCTCAGGTTTAGTTTACTAATTTGTATTGAGATTGTAGTCCATCACGGGAGTGAGCTTGGAGCGGTGACTACTTACAACACACACACACAGGGACCTTGAGGAACAAGTAGCCCCCCTCCAGAAGGAAGGACAGTGTCGGCACCAATTCAGAGATGATTTGAGGATCTACAGCCGAGTGAGACACAAATAAAAGTTAAGCTATGTGAATGCATTTTTAAAATTTAACTCCTGAGTTTAGTGTCACATGAAACTGGATGCAGACATATGAACATTAGAAATCCGTTGGTAGTTAACGAGCACCACCAGATGGCAATGAGTAGCATGGGAATGTTATGCTCATCAGTGCCCTCTAGTGACACCAGCTTATCATTCTAGTTTGTATAATTTAATAAAATTATATATTTTTTGCCCAATTCCACCCCTTCTAATTAGTTTATCAAGTTTTTCAAGTTTCACTTTTTTGAATGTGCAAAAGCAGAGTCATGCTCACAAAGTTACAGATTAACCTCATGTTTTGTTGACTTAGAAAGTTTCAACATGCTGTTATAGTCACCTGTGAACCTCAAGTAGACCCTGTCCTCATACCCAGACTGGCCATTCATTGACAGGTTTTTTTTTTGTATGGTTCCACTGAGGTTTATTAGACACAAAACACATCTTTATCATCAATCACGAAGCATGCAGGGAAGACAAGTTAGGTATACAGGTGAAACTCGAATAATTAGAATATCATGCAAAAGTAATTGCAGTAAGTGCTACAAAAGGGGCCCAAACCAAGTACTGAGTACATATGCATGCTTGTACTTTTCAGAGGTCCGATATTGTTCTATGTACAATCCTTGTTTTATTGATTGCATGTAATAATCTACTTTTCTGAGATTGTGGATTTGGGGTTTTCATGAGCTGTAAGCCATAATCATCACAATTATGACAAATCACGGCTTGAATTATCTTGCTTTGCATGCAATGAGTCTATCTCATATATTAGTTTCACCTTTTTAAGTTGCATTAGTGAAATAAATGAACTTTGCACGATATTCTAATTATTCGAGTTTCACCTGCACATATGCAGAAGTGTGAAGCTGGACATAAACAGGTAGAATATTTATACGAAATAGCTTGTCAAAACATTCCATCATGCCAACAGAGACTTGATGAATGTCATTTAAAAGTGTGTCTGTTTGTTGAATTTAACATTCTATTTTGGAAATGAATGGGAGTTTCATAAACAAAAAACACATTCACTGTTAATTTCTTCCAAGAAATTATTATTGTTTTTCTAATCCTGCTCCCTTGATTTTTTTTGTTATCACTACGGTCAAATGCGATCGCCAATTTGACACCATTAATTATTGGAATTTTGTTCCAAGAACACATATATATTAATGTTCTTGGAACAAAATTGCAGCAATTACTTTTGCACGATATTCTAATTATTCGAGTTTCACCTGTATATACATACATACATACATACATACATACCACAAGTGACTAGGGAGCATGGAGCCATGTAATGACAATCGCAGCCCGGCTTCCTGATTGGTCAGGAAGCTGGCTAATCAGAAAGCCGGGTAGCAAGTCGTTACCTGCCCCTGCCCCCCCCCAGCTTCCTGATCGTCTAGAAAGCCGCCTCCATGCTTCCTTGTCACCTGGTGACAAGGGAGCATGGAGACGGCTTCCCAGCTAATCAGGAAGCTGGGCGGCAAGTCATTACACTCCACCCAGTTTCCTTAATTGGACTTCCAGTATTGTCGAGTACCGAAAGAAAAAGAAAAAAAAAAAACAAACAAAAAAAACAGTATCTGTGCATCCCTAATGGAAAAACAAACAACCAAAAACATTTTTTTTTTTTAATTATGATACCATGTACACCCAGCTTAACACTGCACCCAGATAATGGGGGGACATGTATCAAGCAAATAAGCAACATAATTGCAAATCAGGCTCTACTTAAGGTCTGGTTCACACCTAGGCGCTCAATCGCATGGATTCAGTCGCTCGATAACACGCAAAAACTCAATGGCGTCAGTTCACACCTTAGCGTTGCATCGCATGTGCGAGGTTGCCCATCGTGCAAAAAGATGCAGGAGCTATTTTCAGGTGGATGCTGCACGGTTTTGGTCCCATAGACATTCCTATGCACGGAGAATCGTGGGATTTTCGCATTGTTTTTAAATGCGACAAGCGCACAAAAACAACTTAAACCAGCAATCACCTAGGTGTGAACCAGGCCTCAAAAAAGTCTGTGCTACATCTTTACAGTACAGTGAGTCTCTATTCCTGGGCAGCCAAAGTTCTGAGATGGCTTTATTTCTAAAGACGAGACAGATTTTCACTCTAAACAGACGCATAATTAAGAAGTGGTCAGGTTTAGGTTTTATTCGGTCAGCGAGTCTTAAGAGCGGGCAAGGGAGAAATTTATGACTCAAGCTGTAACCATGTAGTAAATCTGTTGCATGATCTGCCTCACTGCTCCTGTTTAGTATTGCCTTGCTGTACAATGATTTTTTTTCTTTCCCCACCATTGAAGCCTGCAAAGCATTGCACTTGCGATTAGTGGATCACGGGTGCAATGCTCTGGCTCATGCAGACTCTTCCCCTCTGGCCCCATTTGTATCAAGCATCAGTATTTTATGGTCAATGTTTCAATACTGACAGTAAAATACTCATGTTTTGACTTCTCTCCGCTGCATGACCCGTGAGTGCCTCTTTATCTACTCTGGATCTGTATGGATATTTTTGTGGATGAGCACCCAGGCAATTACCATACACAGTGCAGTGGTCACCTCTAGGAATATAAAAGGATACACACACACACTGGTAAAACTGGATATTCCTTTCTGCTTTAGATACAGTGTTAAAGACTGAGTACTAAGAACAAGTTAACAGGATCAAAAAGAAGTCCAAGAGTAATAAAAGACACAGGAAATGCTACTGCTGATTGTAATCTAGTAAAAAGTGCTGCTGGGGCAATTAGTGAGAGCAGGATTGATTTATATTGCTTTTACCTGCACATCTTTCAAAAGAGAACGGCCCTTAGATCTCAGGAAACAACCTAGAGCAGCACTCTATACTGCCATCCACGATCCATCATGAAGCCAACAGAGAAAACCACATAGGAATACACAGACACGAGTGTAAAGCTGGACATATACACCGGTAGATTTCCAAACGAACGTTCATATGAAAAATCTTATCAGAGCATTGCATAATGTCATTCCAAACTTGACGGATGTTGTTATAAAATGTGTTTGATTTTATCATTCAGTTTTAAAATGAATGGAGTTTCCGGAAAACAAATCACTTGGAATTTTGTTCCTTCGAGAAAAATTCTCCATACCGCTCCTTCGATTTTCACTCACAACTTTGGTCCAAAACGACTGACCCCATTAACTGTTAGAAAAACCTCTCTCTTAAAAGAACGCTGGGGAATTTTTTCTTAACGCTTACAGTGGGGTTTTCCATTGCACTGCAAGGGTTAAGTGCTTGTTTTGGTCTAGAGAGGAAGATAAAGTTAAACTCACCTGATCCCTGGAGACGGCATGCTCTTAAGGTGCCCATACACTTTACAACCCTCGCAAGACCTTTGTCTTGCGAGGGTTGTAAAGTAATTTAAAAAACGTACAATCTGCCCATCTTGGACAGGCAGATCGTACCTGCGATCATCGCAAGCCCGCCCCCCTGAGGGGCGGGCTTCTGATGACTGCAATGCTGAACAGGCAGTGTGCATGTGCGCACACCGGCCAGTTCGGCAGTGATCTCTCGATCATGTTAAAAACCAGCCGAAAATCGTACGGTTCTCGGCTGGTTTTCCAACATGCTCGATATATAAAAGTCGTGCGACCGTACATTAGAAACGCTTGCACGCCTTCCATACACTGCGCAATTCTCGTACGATCGCGGGATTTACCCGAATACGGTCTCGGGATACGAGAATCGTGCAGTGTATGGGCACCTTTAGACCGGTCTCTTGAGCATCTCTCCCACTGCAGCAGCTAAGGATTCCTCCAGTCATCCTGTTGTGGACACAGTGCACAGGACGTCGAGGGACATACTACCGCTGCGGCGTAGAAGGAGAGAGGCTGGAGGGAGCGCTGTCACAGCCGGCCGGCTCAGAGGATCAAGTGAGTACTTGCAGTGAAGAGAAGCAAACAGGCTGCAATTGTCCATGATGAAAATACTCGAATGCCCCGTTATTTCAATCTCAGCAGCTGACACATTTTAGCACAGATGATGTCCAACTCTTTTTTTGCATTAGTCTCCCATTTGGCAAAAAAGTGCAACAGAAGGCAACTCATCCCTTCAATGAAAGATATGATTGCACAGGTTTAATGGCTGATTACAAGGCACTGATGGGATTCGATTAATTGCAGATCTTGTAGAACTTTCATAAGTCAATAATTAAAAAAGGATGAGCCGACACCCCCCCTCATGATGGGGGACACATGGGGCTGCATATGGTTGGGTGCATCTAGTATAAAGAAAACTCATGCAGGGCAAAGAAACAGGTTTGAAATACAAGATATCTGCGCTGTTATTCTCCCTGTAATAAACTACTAGCAGCTGTACCAAAGTCAATGATCAAACACTTATATAGTATATTTTAAAAAAATGTACCATACTTAATAAATCGTAATCTACCCTATATCTACTAATTCATAAAAATGTGGGAGCAATATGAATATGAATTAAACAATTAATAAATATCACCATGCATATAAAACACAAAGTTTGCTCCCAGTGAAAGAAGTGTAAAGTCCTCAGTGAAGAAACAACTACAATGCTATAGTGTAAAGAAACAGGTTTGTTTCAAAGCCAGCTATACACCATTTCATCTGAGACCCGTTCACGTTTTCAATCTACTTTTGTTGATGGAGCAAAAACATTCTCAGCCGACCAGTGCTGCAGGCACTGTTTGGCTATTGTGACAGCAGCACACCCATGGTTGTCTGAATACAATAGCCCAGCAGGGGAGATTCCCCCCCATCAAGGCCAAACTGCATTCATTTTGCTGGTTTGATAAAACCATATAGGGGCCAATGTATTGATCTTCCACGCAATGTAATGCTGGATGAATGCCATTTGTGCAATATTACTGCCACTAGATGGTGTTGAGGACAAACAGGAAATTCCTATGTTTCCGACACCATCTAGTGGCAGTAACGCTGTGCGAATGGCAGTCGCCCAGCTTATCGCTGCGCGAAAGATTTATACATCTGCCCCATAGTGTATGGCCAGTTTTAGCGCCTCACCACCCACAGTATATTCTTGTCTATCCTTTACTTCCTGCATCTCGGTGCAGACTCTGGGGTGAAGAAATGACCCTGTACTTCTGTCACATGGTGGGAGGGCGAGTCCTCAGCCACGTGTAAGCTTGCACTGTGGTGGCTCAGGTTGCACAGGGTTGTTCTTTTTTGCTCCCAGGTATCAAATGGAGTGGCAGTAAAGAAAGGGAAAGGCAAGTATGTTTAGCGGTGCGGGGGGTGTGGCGGCATTAAATAAAGCCTTTCCGTGCATGTGCAAAGCACTCTACATATTCAGGTTGAAAATGTTTTTGCATATTACTTTGTATTTCCAGTAGGGAAACCTTGCTGCTAGAATTGCAACAGTCTCTTGAGGCAGCTTAGCCTGTCATGTGACTTCTCTAGGCTGATGGACAAGGATCCACAACATGGGAAACAAGTCAGACACATTCCAAGTTTCCATGCATAACATGTTTTTTGGCAGCAGTAAATAAAAAATGTAAAAAAAATTGGCTTACTTGCTAACAGTAAACAGGACAAGGCCACAATATGGAGCTGTTGGATAGAAATGTCATATCTGTCCATGAAGAGGTCCAGCAGGTAGACTGCGAGGTGGCGAGCAGTCGGGCACAGTTTGAACCGATTGCTGACAATAGCTATCAAGTCTGCAAAGTAGCGTCTTAGGTTCAGCTGGGGAGACTGGCCTTTGTAGGACGGAAGCTTCAATTCCTAAGTAAACAGAGACAGCAAGATGGTAATTTGAGCTTTGCAGACAATGGTATAGAATACATTAACCTCCACCACACACACATCTTACTGGCATTCTTCTACAGTCATCTTTTTTTTTAAAAGACATTTTCCACTTTGGAAAAAACAAAAAACAGAACTATATATTTAGTCTAGGGCTAAATAATGACCATAAGGGTTTTATATTAAAGATTAAAAAGACATCAAATATATTTACACCATAAACACTTGTGGACGTTAAAGAAAACATAGCAAAATATTAATAGCAAAATATTAATAGCAAAATGCAGCAACTCATGGCAACCAGACGTTGGGTAGACAAAGCGATAGCTTTTGGTGGCCAACTAAAAACATGACTTATATTTACAAAGTATCACTTTGATCAGACTTTGACTGCTCACAGTGGGTGTACTGCACGCTACACACGGCGTTATTGTGGTTTCAGCTGAAAATATGTATAAAATTAGGCACACACTACACCCACAGTAAACCCAAAACTTTTTCCCAACAAGCACCCTCTTATTTTAGACTTGAAAAATGTCTGAGGCTCTAATTGAATTGTGCAGATTATAGACAAGACTCTGCTCTGCAGAACAGCAATTCATCAAATTAATTAATGTGGGCAACCATGGCAACCTAATCCACTCAAACGAGTGGTAGACCAAATGAAGTGGAGGGACTGCAGAAAAAAAACAGGACTTTACGTTCTATTCCATGTAAATGAGTGTTTACTGAAAATAAAAGGGCCAGATAACCCCAAACCTAGCAATGCAGTACAATAGGGTTGAGCTTCAGACCCTCTACCACCCTGGAAAAAGGGGGGCGACACTTGTAGCCAACAAAAGAGGCTTCGGCAATCGCTGGCCACTTTGCTGTTTTTGTAAGGGCCGTCCCCTCTCGCCTGCTGTTGAATAACAAAAGGGATTTAAACCGTGAAAATCGATTTGTGGTAGCACCCCAGAGCCTGCTCAGAAAGTAGTTTCAAACACATATGCCCTAAAGGAAACTGCAGGCTCCCTGCTACTTAACACTAGAGTGTGAACGGAGGCATGGGGAAGTGACCAGCTGGCCTCAACTTAGGCCCAGCCAGGGGACCTACAAGACAATGCAACACCATGGATCTTCATTCCCCCCCTCCAAGAGCAACATCACAGAAAGAAGACCAAAAGACACAAGCCATTCGGATCATCTCTGCCCCCCACACTGCCATTAGAATAGGCACAAAGGAAAAATGTGTCAAAGTTGAATTCTAAAAATAATAAATAAAACTAAAATAAAAAATAAATAATAAAAGTTCAGAGTCGAAACACTAAAGTAATATAGGAAAAGTTATACAAGTTGCTTTAAGAACACACAATTTTCATCTACAGCCTTGTCACAATAATATATATATATACACATACATACATTCATGTAACACCAACAGTTTGCCACACTTTACAAAATGAAAGGGAGACAGTACATTTAT